GTATTGAGAATCTTGTACTCGCAGTCGTCCTCGTCTCAGATTCTAAAGCTCTCTATTTTAATAGTGTAAGAGTACTTAATCCCTCTTCCGCCCCTCCCCCATCCCCAACGTGTGACCTCCCAGCTCCGCACTGTAAAAAAAATCTCTTAAAAAATCTTAAGTGTTATTTGTGAATGACGCTTCCGAAACAATGAGCGAGCTGTTTTCGGATGAACCACAAGTATCATTATGATTCAAGGTCATGGTGCATCAAAGGAACAGCTAAATCTCATCTCGACAAGGGTTCGTTCATCGGCACCTTTGATAAACCATGATCATAAATACTGAGCCGGATCCAGATCATCCCACAGGAACTCAGATAGAATTAGACTGAGAAAATAGTCCACATTTCGTGTCGCCATCACTAGTCTGGGAAACGAACGCAGAAATTCGATACTGATGACGCGTCACTACCTAGACCTGGGTAGTAATTCTGATTGGCCAAAAATTTGCCTCAACCTATCAGAAGCACAACCCAGATTGAGTCATTTAGCCGAATTAAGAACCTTAACGCTTAAAAACATTATCTAAAGAAAACCGGTGCTAGAATCGAATCCTGTCAGAACTAGGAAGTAGGAAGTAGTTAATCATTATGCATGAAACAGACCAGCTCCATGGCCTCTTAATGTGAGACAAACAGCAAAATAGAGATTAACATAGTCAGCGTTTAAAATTCTCCACAGTATAATTTACCCGCTGGAAAGAAAATTCCGAAAATCTCTGAGGGATGAAAACGCTAAAGTCACGTTTTATTAGCTTATGATTGTCTTTGGTCTGTCAGCACCGTATTTCCTGCTGTTTGATGAAGTATACAATAGCACTGTCATTTCGTCCTTGTGATTGGCTCTTCCCACTATCGGCGTGCGAAGTCTCCACTGGGAACCGTTCTAATCATAAATCTACTCGGGAAAGGGTTGACTCTAAGGGCTTGTATGGGAGATAGAGGCTCCATTTGATGGGCTCCTGGTATGGACATTTCTGCGCTCCTTTCTTGGACGTCATTTCCCGGGGTTTTCTCAGGCCAAGATAAAATAAGAACTTTCTTTTTGAGTGAGATGTTTACGAACTTTGTGCTCTGTAACCTTAAAAAACATCCGACATTTCGCGACTCCAACGTATGAGAAACGAGCGCAGAAATTGCACACTGATGTCGCGTCACTTCCCAGATCTGGGTAGCGCTTCTGATTGGATGATGAAGCAAATTTCCAGCCAATCAGAAACACTACCAAGATCGGGGTAGTGACCCATCATCATTATGGAATTTCCTCGCTTGTTCCTCAGACGTCATTTCCATTCTCGTTCCCAGAGCCTCCTAGGGGCCTGAGCACGAGGAGCAGGAGGCTCTGGGGACACAGGATTTGAAGTCCTAGATTTTAGGACTTCCGGTCATTTCTGATTTTCTACAACGTTTTAAAACAGCGTTCACTTCCTCTTGCAGAAGTGTCAATGACTGTAAATTTAGGTGAGTCGAAGCGTTTAAAAGAGAATCCTCCAACTTCCTTTTGAATCGGAAATGACCGGAAGTCCTAAAATCTAGGACTTTAAATCCTGTGTCCCTAGAGTCTCCTGGTCCTCGTGCTCCGGCCTCCAGGAGAATCTGGGGAGGAGAATGACGTCATTTCGCGGAGAAACCACTGGTGGTGTCGCCAAATGTCGGCTGTTTTCTCAGGACATGTGCTTTAAAAAATACAATAAAAACCCAAAAAATAGCTGCAAACAGGCATGAAACGACTAAACCACATTGCCTACCGACAATTCATACAACGAGTTGTAAACACCAAGACAACGTTTATTGTTACTACCACAAAGGCAAACAGAAATAAATACTTTTCTTTACACTACCCTGTTATGGAAAATAGAATTAAATAGAAAGAAAAAGCGCTTAAAGTACTATCTTAGTAATAAACACAAACTGTGGAGAAGGAAAATTCAGATCAACTCTCAATCCTTCGAAAAACATTACAATCCTGTACCCAGATTGCCTTGGACTCTGTCTGTGGGCGGTGATCTGGGTCGAGATGAACCTGGGCCAAACTAGCACCTAATTTTGAATTAAGTTTTATAAAACAAATTCTTTTTTTAACCTGTCGTTGTGGTTGCCATGCCATTGTTTCCATGTAAATTCCCGAGCATTCACCAGAAGAAATCACCATCAGAGCTCAAAAGATTTCAGCAACCTCTTCCCCAAAACTTCTTAACAATTAGGGTAAAGGGAAGGCCAGGGTTACACTGATTTCTCCCTGTCTCAGTGTTGTTATAATATTTTGTTACTATTTGTATGATTGCTATTTATATAGTATTTGGAATAAAGGATTCTTGTAAATAAATTCATTGTATTTAATTTGCTATGGCGGTGGCAAATTCATCTTTTTGCGTCCCTGGGGGTTCTGTATGAAAATTCTGAAAGGTCCCACTTTGAAAATGTCCTCATTCGAAATCTTTAAAACTTATTGCAACCCTGTCAGCTTTAACAAAGACGCTTGTAAGCATTTGTTATGAAGTGCATTATCTCTAAAGGTATAACACAATAACGAATTACACTATAGACTGTTCACGGTCCCCTATTTTTTCGTAACGTCGTCGGTATGGAGCGCCTATCGGTACCGGCGACCATCTTGGTTGCATATGTACCGAGGGGGGAGGGGGGGGAGGCGAGAATTTCTCTCTTCTCCTCGCAAACCGTCCTCCGCCTCCTAAGTAGATTTGACACTTGTCCCAGGGCTAAAAACTTCTTGGAACATCTGAAACCAAGGTCGCCATCGGCCACCCGTAGGGCAAGGTGATCGATCTCAACGACCTTACGGAAAAATAGGGGACTGTGAACTGTTTGATTAAACTGAGGTTAAGACAGATGCGAATTTTTTTCGAGTTTGGCACAAGGCGAATAATCTACGATTTTATACCCTGTTGAATTGTCTTGTAAATTTAGCAATTCCTCTTCAATTAAGGAGCACCAGTTTGCAAAGTAAATCAATAAACTTCAAAGGAGTCTAGTTTATTCATACCAACCCTGTGAGCGAGGTCAGGACCCACTTATGACACTGTAAAGCACCGTGCAATTAAACAATACATTAAGCCCTTGTGTTTAGGACGCTTGGTGTTTCAAACATGTAGTTAAGAGTCGCGTTATACATTCACTGTCCATCTACTCAATCACGAAGCCGGGGCCAAGTCACATGACCTAATGACGTCATACTCCACCACCGCTCCTGTCCACAGGTATCTGTTCTGTTAAATGTTTGTGATGTCGATCGATGATGACCGCAAAACGATTGTTGGCTACAGCTCCTGTCTTTAGAGCGCTCATCAGCTAAACAGTAATAAAAACATTCACCAAAAGTTGATTTTAACAAAATCTGAGTAAATGTAATGAAATGTCCGTCCCAAATTTCCATCCCGCGCTGGACTCAGAGAGCAAAATTATACCTTCCCTTGCAACCAGAGCCTGCGCGGCAGGCGACAGTTTATTTGGTTAGTTTTTATAGGACGCGCGAGGGGAACACGCAAAGGAGAGGGAAGGCCTCTCCTCCGTTTTTCCCTTCGTGCGTGCGCGCGTCCTCGAAGTTTCTTCCTCCGCTCTAAAATCCGACTCATGCTAAGCAGGCTAGAGATGACACCTTTCGAATCTAGGAAGTATACTACTGTGTATTTTGTGGGCCTTACATATTACAGGATTAAGCAACCCAAATCAGCAGAGGATAATGGTCTTTTTTGCTCTCCTCGTGCCCAAATACAATATATCAGGAGTAAAAACGTCACCCGGCACGATGCAAACAATTGGTTCAGTATTTACAAGCAGACCGCCAGTAACACAGCGAATGGTCAGAGCAAGACTCGGTCTTATGATCTCCGGATTGCTAACCTGCGTAGCTGGTGATTTTGTCTGGCGAGCCCGCAAATGAGCGCAAACGAGCGGTGAAGTTATGAAAGTTCGCGCGGACTTCAAGCGGCGAGACCACAAGAAAAGAAAAACCATAGTTATTGTTGTTCTCGTTGATTCCGCCTCGTTCTCCTCGCGGCTTCAACGCTCGCCATTACCTCTCTCCAACAAAACAACCAGCTACCAGATTGCGAGTCCACGTCGCACTAATTTTTGAGTGGGTTACAGGGTCACGACGTCTCCCTGTTAAACCCAAAAAAGACAGGAATCTAATTTCTCCCGTCAGTATCACCACTAAAACAAAAGTATAGTTCATGAGAATCCAGGAAATGATCAGCGAGCACAAAAGGTCTCGATTGTTAAGCAAGTTCCCCACATTAGTATTAAATGTAGCAGGGCTGAACAGTTTGGAGAATCTGTACATTGATATTAGGATTTTCAGTAACTAACCTGTAGAAACTCATCCAGGTCCACACATGAATTCTTATTAATATCCACTTCAGCTATAAGCTCATGAAGTTGCTTGTCAGATACCTCCTCTCCCATCTCCTTCAACATGTTTCTCAAGTCAAACGAGTTCAAACATCCTCGCTTGGATTTGGTAATTTTCTGAAACATCTTCTCGTATTGCTTGACTTCCTCGTCGTTGAAATTCACCTCCACGCGCCGTACGTGTTCATGAACGTCCAATCCCATACCAGT